CCGAAAAAAAAAAAGCGAGCAGCTCATCTCATTAGGCGCGAGAATCCCCAAACTTATTCCCTCCATTGAGATATCAATTTCAAATTCATAATCAATACTAAATCATCGACTTAATGATAACCAGAAAAAGAAAAAAAAATCATCAATTTAATGAACGACCGTGGATGGTTGTTTTGGTTCAAACCTAACATTTTAAAGAGCTTCAGTTTCTAATTTTGAATTTTTAACTATGTGATAAAATTGATAGTAGTAACATTGTTAATGGAAAAAAATGATAATCACCCAACACAACATATGGAGATTCAAATTTTCATTCAAAATATTAATTAAAGGAATAATAATTAGATATGTAACAGTGGAGATTGAATACCATCATCATACATTTTCTAAGCTCAAAGTTAGTAGATTAGTAACACAAATTTAAGTCTAAGCACGGTCTTTTGTATCATATCTATTTTCTGTAATTCTTAAAAAGAAAAATAAAATCTCAGTTTTAATTTTATATAAATATTTGTTAATCTAAACAAACACAACAAAAAATTAAAAGGTTGAAATCCCACCCATCAAAGTCGTTGCACTAGAAGATAATAATTTGAGATAATGTCTTAATAAGCAATTTGGCAAACTTATTAATGATCCAATATTTTACCGTCTTAGATTTCTATATTTAAAACTTTTTTCAAATAATAAATTTGCCCCTAAGGTGTTTATATTTATTATAACTTGTCTTTTATTTAAATGCAAAATATTAATATTTCAAATTTGATTTTGTAAACATTAAATTATCGTGGGACCTAAGTTAATCATACTCATAATTCCTTAATTTACTCCTTAATATATTCTACTGAATAATGAAATTTATTACAAAATATTCAATTATTATCATAATTCCCAAATTTTCTCCTTAATATATTCTACTAAATAATGAAATTTATTACAAATATTTTTTCTTTTTTTTTTTTACCAAATTTCAATAATATAGTTATATATCTGACTACCTTTTTAGTTATATGAAAATATAAATCATATCCGGCTATAAATTTAAATAACATACACTTAACAATGGTGATATAAATTATAGTTGTTATAACATATATTATATGGAGATATAATTCATATCTGGCTATAAAGTATATACGACTATATCTCTCTACAATTAACAAACAAAGCAAATAACCTACAAACCTTTCGATCGGCGACTAGACAATGGTCGGGATAAACGGAGGACTGGAATGATCGACGAGCGGCTGGCGACAAAAAAGAAACCTCGAGATAAACGGACGAAAATAATGGACAGGCGGCCGGAGACGAAGGAACGCAGATGGCGACCGAAGACAAAGGAATTGACGGAAACAGAAAGATAAAAGAAGAAGAAAAGTCGGAGGAATGAGGTTTTCGAATTTTTTCAATAATGGAGGATTTTGGGGATTTGATATTTTTCACTCTTGGAAAGTCTAATTAGGCAAAATTTAAGGAATTTAAAATATAACATCCCAAGAGCCAATTTTATATTTTTAAAATTAATTAATATCGAGGTGATATATTAGTAAATTGCATGATGGGTACCATCCTAAATACATTTGTTGCATGACAAAAGTGTAAATTTTATACCTTTACGTAGTTATAGTCTCTAAATAATAATTTTAAATTTTCCATAGTCTATGTCTAAGAAAACTTTTGGAGGTTACAAGTTTTAATGCTATTTTGATTGGTGGTTGTGCAACTTTAGATGCAATTTTAGAACATATCAAAGGTTTATTTTATAAAGGATGATTTATTTATATGGGGATAAACCCAAAAATATTATCAGATTTGTCCACTACAAATTTTCGAAAAGAAGAAAAAACAACAAAATTTCCCCACCAAACAGCAGTTAGGTTAAATTAATTAAGGCCATTTGCAATATTATATAAAATACACCCGGAGTGAACAAAGAAATTTAAAAAATAATAAAACTAAACCAAACCAACAATAATTAGTTGGTTTAACTAGACCATAGTTTGAGAACGTATAAATCAACCGTATTTAGTTGTCTTGATATTAGTCTGCCTCTAAAACCAATGGAAATTAATTTAGGGAGATTGCAAGGTAAAATCCTTTTATGTATTTTAAACTATATCACTTATTTTTTAAAATTTTTAAATATAGTATAAATTTTCACTTACATTATTAGACACTCATATCAGTAGTGTATTGGATGTAAATCATATACACGTGCACATACGTTTTATATGAATAATCAGATATATTAGAGATAAATATCATTGGGATAAAGTTGTCATTTTAAAATTGAATCTCCATTTTAAAAAAATGTGCTATATTTGAAAAAAAAACTAAATGTGATTGCTATTTTACTAATTTTAACATGTGTTTTTGTCATATTTGCAAATATCCATTTAATTTAAGAGAAAACTTACTAATTATTTTTTTTAAGATAAAGATAAAATGTTCATTTTTATTCCTGTATTTTTAATATTTTTCATTTTAATCTGTGTAATTTTAAAATGTTTGTTTTGATCCTAACTTATACTTTTAAGTAACTTTAATTTTTATTTATAAAATTTTGATATAAATTTTACGTGTGACGAAAACATTTCGATACAAAATTATAGTTACATTTACGTAAAATAAAAAACAAACTCTAAGCATGTGATGTTGACGTAACACCTCTACGCTAAAAATAATAAAAGTATCATAAATGAGAGGGCACACAATTTTTTGAGGGCATGACCGCCATAGACAACAATTTTAGTTTACAAGCTGGGGAACCATCTTAATAGCGGCTGAATAACCGACGGTGCGTGAGATTCACGCTCTCTGATCTAGCCGTCCATCCACCTCCTGCCCTGCCCAATGAGAAAGACCGCAAAATAAACCAACCGGTAATATGAAATACATGGCGGATCTTGATATTGTCCCGCGTGAAAACGAAATTTGTCGGTGACGAGCTCTTTTTCCACTCACCAAATTCAGAGCAAAAGTCTTATCAGATTGGGGGAGAGGTAGACGATACCATTTCTCGTCGCTCTGGCACAGATCCAACTTCCCCACTTCTTTTATTAGGGTTTGTTCCATTAACTTCCAATCTCAACCAACCATTTTCTTAATCACACTTCCCCTTAATTAATCAGGGAACGTTGGGGAAAAGGGTGAATAAGGAAACAGATCTTGAGACAAGCTCCAGATTTTCCACCTCCCCAACACACCCATTGGCCATTGCATTGCTCCCCATTGCCGCAATGTATTATGCTTGAGCTGGATCTTGGTTCCCGAGCAATCTAGGCGTGGCATTTACGCAATAGCTGAGCATTGCGCAAGATGGGCGAGAAATCGAGGTCTAGAGGGTGCTGTGGATGGTTTCTGGTGTTGGTAATTCTTGGCTTGGTAGCTGGTGCTATAGTATTCGCAGTCAAGAAGAAGATGAGTCACTCTGATGATGAGGCAGCTCCAGTTCCAGGACCGCCTGGTGCCATCGAGAAGAAATACTCCGACGCTCTCAAGATGGCCATGAAGTTTTTCGATGTGCAGAAGTGTAATATCTCCTTCTCATTTCTAATTGATATTCTGCTTCTCTGTTTAGTGTAAATTTTTGGCTACTATTCCATTTACAATGTAGACTATAGTGCCGATAAATGCATGGAGCAGTGCCTACATTGCAAAAGATTTCAATTTTGTGGCAACGTTTTGTTTGTTGGTTGTATGGATTTAGTTCAAATGTGGCATTTCTCGCGATATTTCTTAACTAGGGGTCTGTCTGTTTGCAGCTGGTGAGTTGGTAGATAACGGAATATCTTGGAGAGGAGATTCGGGGTTGAAAGATGGAAGTGAAGCGAAATTGGATCTGTCTAAAGGGATGTATGATGCTGGGGATCATATGAAGTTTGGTTTCCCAATGGCTTTTACTGCAACAGTGTTATCTTGGTCCATTCTTGAGTATGGAGATCAGATGGATGCAGTGGGTCAATTGGATCCTGCCAAAGATTCTCTCAAGTGGATTACCGACTACCTCATTAATGCTCATCCTTCAAAAAATGTGCTTTACATTCAGGTAGCTCAGTTTATTTACTTGATGTATTGTTTATGTTAATCGTGGACTCCGTTAGTTCGATCCAAAGAGATTGCTGTGAATTTAGATTCTGTGTCAGAGATTACCATAAGCTATCATTTGTGTTCTATGAAGGCTCTAAATTGGTCTAAACTGTTTTATGAGTTATGTTCTGTATTAGAAAATTTCTCATATAATCTTTTGGTTGGTGATACTTTGCAGGTCGGGGATCCGAAGGTAGACCATGGCTGTTGGGATAGACCTGAAACCATGACTGAGAAGAGGCCACTCAGACAGATTAACGCCTCTGTTCCAGGAACAGAGGTAGCAGCAGAAACTGCTGCAGCTATGGCTGCAGCTTCTCTTGTTTACAAGGAAACTAATCCCTCCTATTCAAGCACGCTTCTTAAGCATGCCCAAGAGTTGTTTTCTTTTGCTGATGAGAATCGAGGTTTGTACAGTATCAGCATTCCTGAAGTCCAAACCTACTACAATTCATCAGGATATGGAGATGAACTTTTATGGGCTGCGAGCTGGCTGTACCATGCGACAGAGGATGAATCCTTCCTCGATTATGTGACTGGAGACAACGGGAAATTGTATGCGAAATGGGGCAGTCCCACCTGGTTTAGTTGGGATGACAAGCATGCAGCAACCCAAGTACGTATCTCTCTTATCTAGAGGTGTAGATTCCTATCTATGTGGTAAAATGTAGAAGTTTTAATTGACAGTTTAACAATAAAAAAATATTGATGAGATTAGCTGAAGTTTGAGCTAAACCAAAGTATTTTACTTTCAAATTCTTTGAAGTTGATATGCTTCCCTTGAAATCATTGTTTCTGTATATGGCTTACAGCCTACAGGAACATCAGTTCCTATTGAATATAGAAGCTTATAGTAAAGAATGTGAGGAAGTGGAATAGAAACTTCTGAAGTTTCAATTGGAAAGTTTCGATCATTTTTTCAAACTAAAAGCTTCTGCTGTAGGATCAGAATTGGACATAGTGAGCTGAAAATTTCCTGCATTGCACATATGATCCTGTTATTATTATCACCTCTTACATCATAGGACATTTCTTTCCCTTTTTTTGGAATCAAGAGCACAAGAATTTCCTTTCAAAGTTAGTAATGATTTAACATTCTCAATTTTGCGTGGATTGACTGCGACTAGAGCTTTTTATTTGAATATTCAAGAAAATAAGCATTTTACTCTTATGAACTTGTGAAAGGGAAAAATAATATTTGATGTGGTTACGTCTGCGATTAGTTTTGAGATACTACAAAATCCAAGCATTTTACTTTGGAAGATATTTTAGATAAGAATAAGATTCTAAACCACTTTTGATTACAAATCCTTCTATTTTAAATGGTATGAAAAATAACTTCTGTAATCCATTAAAAACAAACAGAGGCTGGTGAAGATTGACATCTTAACCTTGTCACTAACTCTGAAATTTTTATGCAGGTTTTATTGTCTCGGTTAAGCTTCTTCGGCTCGAAAGATGTTTCAAAGTCAGTTCAAGTTTACAAGAAAACAGCTGAGGCTGTCATGTGTGGCCTAATACCAGAGTCTCCAACAGCGACAACAAGCAGAACAGATAGTAAGTAATTTCTTCAATTACGTAATGACTTTATCAAGTGTGATTTCATATTGTCCATCGCATTAATTTAGATTGCAGCAATTGTTTTCCTCTATAACTCTTATTTATTTATTTAACGACGTTACTTGTACAGATGGTCTCATATGGGTGAGCGAGTGGAACTCTCTGCAGCATCCTGTGTCTTCAGCATTCTTGGCTGCTCTTTACAGTGATTACATGCTTACCTCTAGAACTCCAAAATTGTCTTGCAGCGGGGATTCCTTCACACCAGCAGATCTAAGAAAATTTGCCAAATCTCAGGTATAAGCACGCCTTTAATTAGCAGAAGCAACATATTCTTCTTAAAGTGAAAGTGATAGGATTGTGCTATCCATAGGATTGCTATTAGGATAGGTTGGGAATATTATTAGGGTATTAAGGGTATATTAGTAATTGGGTTAGGGAGTTCTAGTTATAAATAAGGTGAAGGGGTAAGGACGAGGGTAGGTAATTGGTAGTATGATTTAGGCTTGAGTAAGAATACTCCAGAGAGGGGAGGGTCCAATACCTCGAATTATTTGGTAGTCATTGTTAGTTCTTATTAAATTTCAATATATTTCTTATTCGAGTTCTTATATCTAGTTACAATATATTTATTATTCGGGTTCTATCACAAAGTCCTATTGATTTCAAGTTGGACCCTTTGTCTTTCCAGGCTGATTATGTGTTGGGCGAAAATCCTTTGAAAATGAGCTATCTTGTGGGATACGGTGACAAATTCCCAAAGTATGTCCACCACAGAGGTGCATCAATCCCAGCTGATGCCGAAACCAAGTGTAAGGACGGGTTTAAGTGGCTCGACTCAACCAAACCCAACCCAAATGTAGCTTCTGGAGCTCTCGTGGGTGGACCGTTCCTTAACGAAACATATATCGACTCACGAAACAATTCAATGCAAGGGGAACCAAGCACATACAACAGTGCTCTCATCGTCGGCCTGCTATCGAGTTTAGTTACTACCTCCTCGGCAGTGCAGTCCTTCGCCTAAAACAGCTCGTATTTTTCCATATATATACGTATAAATCTATATTTGTGATTTTATTATATCTTGTAGCTGATATATTTAGTGAAGCGAGCTGTTTCGATAATCCTTATTTGAAACGATGATGGGATGTAATTCTTTATTTGAGTGATATGTTTTGGCGTTTGTTGTTGCACAGTCTTTTTCTTTCAATTCATTGTTTGCTGACAAGATCAGTGGTCTGAGAGAGAGGGCCCATGGCATAGACAAAGAGAAATCAGAGGGCATGTCTAGAAAGGCAATTAAACAAGAATTTCACACTTGTTCGTTTTTCCTGAATCCTTATCCACAGCATTGGGACTGGGAGAGCTAATAATTCCCATTTTCCAAATGTTTGAAAGTGGAAAACTACTCATAGTGGTATGCTGAAAAGATAGGAGTTTAAATCTATGGATGAATAATACATCTGTCCACTAAAAGTTTGGACTTAGTGCAACGACCATGTTTCATTTTGATTAGATTGTAATGCCTTCTAGATTTCAAATCATGAAAGGGTGTTTGTTTGAGGCCACTTTTAAAATAATTACTTTCGTTCAGGATCAATACTTTTAATCATAAAGTGTGAGGCGACTCCAAATATATTTTGAGTGAGAGAAAATATGTATGCATATATATATTAGTGATGGAAAGTTTAAGAGGGTATAAATCAACCATCATTACAGGAATAGAAATTAGTTATCAACAAAATACAGTGGTATTACATTTAACTTGATGTTAATAATTTTATTTTAAAGTTAGACGTTTGAATCGTCAATTTCACATTAGATCGTTTGAAGTTAAAAAAAAAATATCATGATTTAACAGTTGGATAAAGTAACCGTCTTGAAGAATAACGGATTCCCTTCGATTATAAGTTTGAGTTCCACCATCTACACAGACATATTTACAGATTAATCTTAGCCAGCTATAGAACTAACAATTGAAAAATAAAATTGAACACAGAGAACTAGAAACAACTGTGGTGGCACAAGCACAAAGCAGAAACCGACATGAATAATTCTTGTCCTTCTATTTTCTTCTTTTGTGTGTCCAATAATGAGACCAAGTCAACGTGCAATGTCTTATTTTGATTTGAAAACCATTTGTTTTTTGCATCTCTCGATCAGATCCATCCGCCAACTCAGGAGCGCTCGGGATTGTAATCCTTCGTCAAAGTCAAACAAAGAAATCCAATTGAGTTCCATCAATTCCATTTTGATTTGACTAATTTATGTGGGCCCTGCCACTAGATCCTCCCACGTGTAATCAAATTATTTGATTAACCAAATATACGTCCCTAGTATTTTTCAATTATTTTCTAAAGCAGGCTGATAATTAAATTTATACCACATAATTTTTAGTTAAATGATAAAAATTTAGATAAAGAATTAGCTCACTTAACTAAAAGAATAAAATCTGAAGTTTTCTTTCCACTGCTCGAGAATTTTTCTTTTAGTTATCCTCCTTTTTCCTTTAAATTTTTATCAAATAATCATAAAGTGGCGTAAAAGAAAAATCGATACTTTTCAAATAATAGAGATTAAATTGAAAAAACGTGTACCTCAAGTTTGCACATGAGTTCATGAGCAGTGTGGGCAGAAACAATGATATTACGGGCAGCTGGTGTAATAAAACCTTCGACTACAGCTTTGTCTATAAAGGAGAGAAGTGCGTTATAATAGCCATCCACGTTCAATAGTCCCACCTACAGCAAACCATTATAAATAACCAAAATTAGTTCATCTTTCTTCGATACAATGATCATAAAGCAACTGAAATCAATTATTTGTCTTTTTTTTTTCTCCTGGTATTTGGATAATCCTTGTTATGAAGTGGCCATTAACAAGAACACACGCACGCACACGATTTTTTTTAAAATTTTTTTAATAATCTTTTTGCTTTATTGACTGACTTTTCCGGAAAGCTTTGGCGATTTATTAATAGAAGAGGCATGAAATTGAACTTCAATTGGGTAAAGTAATTACTCAAAAAGAAAAAAAAAAAAAGGTAAAAAGTGAGGGATTTTTTACGGGTTTTTCATGGATTCCGAGTTGTGCCCAAGTTATTACTTCCAGAAGCTCCTCTAGAGTGCCATACCCACCTGCAAATATATCATAATTATCATTAATAGCTGCAAGAGTTTAAAATTTTATATAATAAGTCGGTAGTTTTTTTTAGTACAATATGTAGAGGTAGAGATCGAATTGACAACCTCTTCTTAACTATGCTCGTTTTGGTACTTATAATTTAGTTCAATACTAATGAGGTATTAAATTGTGTATTATTATTTAAAGTTCATGTGATGGATTGATTTTAGTATAATTCTTAAATAATACCTTTAATAAACTTATTAAGCGTGTAAACTAACAAAATTAATTAAAACGATGTAGACCTGGTAAGGCAATAAATGCATCAGCTTGTTTGGCCATCTCAGCTTTACGTTGGTGCATGCCAGAGACAGGTCTCACTTCTCCAACCGTTTCTCCAGTCAACTGAAAATATTACCCCTTCATCCACTACTACAAATTTCACTAATATAATGGCATTTTGTTTAGTAATTAATTTAATTACCTCTCTTAACATTAGGGTCCTTGGAATCACTCTGCAAGCAAAACCCACACGATCATATTATATATATACACGTAGTAATTAGTAAATCAGTAAAAATTCTGTATATATGATACATAAATATTATGAGTGAGCGAAAGAGAGAGAAGGGGCTACCCTAACACGTGGCAACCACCATCATGCACAGCTTGGGAGACTAAGCCCATGAGGCCGATGCTGCCTCCTCCATAAACCAAGTCAATATTCCTTTCCACCTGTACTTCAATTTCTAATTAATATTAACACATTATTTATTAAAATTAAGAGGAGCCTAGAAGAAAATTAAAGTAATTTGAAAACTAAGTTTTCTTCTTTAATTATATCAATGGAATTCATTATTAATCATCCCCACATCATAATTTCATAAAGCCGTCGGGTAAACGCTACTGGTTTTCCCTCACTTGTGCAAAAATTTATAGTCACAAACTCCTCATAAATTAATTAATTAATGTCCAACCAGCCCACAAAACACACATGATCCAAACCTGACATAGTTTTTGTACTCATGAATACACTTCTCTGCCCAGAATTTTCAAAATACTTACTATAAAATATCCAATCTAAATCACTACTTTTTGTAGATCGAACATTTAACTGTAATAAGAACAACATAAACTTTGTTGACGAGGAGTCTGAGTATTTTTCTTAAACACCTCTTAACTCTCTCTTTTTCTATATTCCCTTACTTGTATTTAAAAAATTTAGTGGTAAACAGTCGAAGATGTAATCCCGGAAAATAAGATGGAAGAATAATAATGCTTGATAAAGAAAAAATGTTGATTATGTTATGGTAATATAAGGTAATAACGTACGAATTGTTTGGCTAGTTGAAGAGCGGCAAGGTGATAGGTAGGGTTCTTGCCGGGGCTGCTACCGCAGAATACACAGATTCTTCTAAACCTCCATTTCTTGCTGCTTCTTCCTCCAACTCCAAACTGTTGAGTTTCCATTTTGGAGAACTTTTTTGTTAAAGTGCCAAATTGGGGTGACGCCCAGTTTTATTTATATACACCAAAATAGAGAGACACAGTCACGGATCACAGAAAATTTAAAAAGGAAAAAAAAAGGCGACTCTGCAATCCGACATGTCACATCTCTCGCAATTTCTTCTCCCTCTCGTGGAAATTGATATTTATCCACAATGAAATTCACGTTGTCAACTCAGCACCACACCTTTATTTGTCCCCAAAACGACGTCACTCCGCTCCACACACGCATTCTTTATACTAACCATTCCATTCATTCTCCCATCACTCTCTCTCTCTCTCTCTTTCTTTTTTATAAAATTAATCTCCTTCATTGCAAACGTAACGTGTGTAGTAGACTTTCATATAATATATAATATATTTATATAAATATATTATATGGTCCCTGTACAATTTGCTGCTGTGTTTTCAAATTGCATCCAAACTCTGATTTCTCTCCCACAAAATCATTATAATTAATTAAACTTTCATTTTCAAACACAAATTCCTTCTTCATCCGGCCGTATAAATAAAATATTGGTCGTCGGAAGACATAGATAGATCTGTTTTTTGTAAATTATGATCCGACAAATATAATCTCCTGATGTGTGATATTAAAGGAAAAGAATAGGGTAATTATATGCCCCAAAAATAAATGCCTCTAGCTCTTTAAATTCTTGTTATTTCATATCTGGAAAAATTTTATTGTGTGCAACGAAGAATCTTGGTTTTATAATTGGATAAGTACGTCGGAAAATGTGGTGGTGGCAGCAAAAAGCGATTTGTTTTTTTCAAAAGGACGATGGTTGCTGTGAGAGTGGGTGTTATTATTATTATTATTTTTAAAATTAAAAATCATTTTGGCTTTGATATGACTACTGCTTTACAAAGTTGTCCACCCCCTTTTTTTCCCCTTAATTATTGTGGGAACTTTAGGGGATGTATCACCTTTTACATCAAAGTTTTGGAACACATAATCCAAGTTCCTTTTAAAAAATAAAAAATTAAGTTTCTTATGTGTCTATTTACCCTTTATTAAAAAAACAATTAAATCATATTTATTTTTTAAGAATGTCAGAATAATCTAGAGAGAAAAAAAAAATCTAGGATCATCTTTTAATAAAAGGCCAGTTTTTGTTTTGTTTCGTAATATTTTCAAAGCAGATCAAAATTACGTAGCTTTCAACTTAATTTAAATTTAACTCTTACTATTTTAAAATTTTCAAACTTTTCTTTTTCGATTGTAACAGGTGTGGGATGAGATATTTAAACTCATGATTTCTTAATCAAAGATAAAACTTTAAAATTAAGTAACTATATTGAAAATTATTTATAAGATTGACCAACTCGTAGAAACAAAAAATAAAAGTTTTAAAATTAGAACCAACCTGCTGAAATTAGAGCAAGGATAAATATATTAATTTAACCTTTAAAAAAGAAACAGAAAAAAAGGAAAAAAAGAGAGACACAAAATGATGTACAATCGGAAGAGGGAAGAGAGTATGGGGTGAGGTGCACACGTGGCGTTCCAGCTCAGCTCGAATTCCTTTTGTTGCCCACCAACCAAATTCATCTGACGTAGTCAACTCCAATCAGATAAAAAAATCCCTTAAATAAAAGTAAATAAACATTATACAGCAAAACTTTTTTTTTCTTTTTTTAATTTTAGTCCATAAGATAAGTTGCACTTTTGTTGTTGTTGACGACTTTTCGTATTAGGTATTACACGTGAAACATTGGTTGATTTTATTTACCTAAAAAGTACCTTATGTTTATTAAATGTGATCAACTACCTATATAAATTTAATAAAATTCTTCTTAATTAGCAGAATGAGATGAATGATAATTGACATACATCTCTAATCAAGATTAATTTGTTGAAATTATCAATATTTTGCTGCAACAGTATTCATTCTACAGCGCGTAACTTTATTTTTTCTCAAGCACAGAAAGATTTGATTTGTTATAAAATGATAAAGTCCATATAATATTATCTTTTTCAAAAATTGAAATAACTATAATTATTAATTATGTATAAACAGTATGCCATTGATTTATATTGTCACACCATTAATTCTGATTTATACCTTTTGTTTCTTGTTATTATTGGACTTATTATTCGGCCCAAGCCGAAAACAGCATGGCTGAAGCTGAAGCTGATTTGGGCATTTATTGATGAGATTGGCCCATCAAGTCATGCTGGGCTAATGTCCGGATCAAGCCCACCGTTTTAGCCCATTCATACCCCTCTTTTTGGGCCAGTAATTTCATATTTAGCCCACTTTCAACCGAGTTATTTATAGAAAAAGTCAAATTCTCGAAATAATTAAAAACCCAATATGGACAATAAAAATACAAGAAATCATGTTTTTTAAAAATAAGAATTGGTGTCGGATTTAGGTTGATATTAAAATAGAAAGAAAACTTTTAATTAGAATTAAGAAACAGTAAAACTATTATTTAAAAGGAGGATAGATTATTTTAARAAATACGTGTAATTTAATAATAGATTCGAGACATACATACACTTAAATAAAATATTAGTGGGAGTGACTATGGAGGACAAGATAAAAAGCAAAGATGAGGCAAAAAGAAGTGTGTTAGCACACAACATAGGGAGCATTATTATAACATTATGAGAATCAAACATATGAATTAATGTGGTATCGCTCAAAATCTTAGCATTATATTACATGAAAGAGACCCAAAATGTCCACATTCAAACATCTCTAAACCATTAAAAAAAAGTTATAGATGCATTTGACTCTTTTGGATTTTTCTCACATATGCTCCCACCTCAGTCAACGGTGGGGATTCTTTTTGGACCCACCAATTTGCTTTCTTTGGATCGCAAGAATTTGTTCAAAGTTTAATACTTGAACTACAAATTTGGTGTGGAATCTAGATTCGTCCTTATATTTGGAAAGTTTAAGTTTTTTCGATAGATTTATGTACTTTCAAAATTATATTTATTTTGTTCATATCAATTTTTAAAATTTATGATATATTTACACAACAATAGACTCAAACCTATCGCGTTTTAGGTTGGCATCATCCTTACCATGGTTGAGTAATACAAATTATTGTCATTAATTATTTTGGACATAATTCTTAAATAATATAATTAGTGTGATTATCAATTAAAATATTATAATATTTTTAAAAATATAATAGAAATCGGTTCTAAGAAATTGAGACTTTTTGATCTATTAAGTTAAACTTTAAACTTTGGTTCATTTTTGTATACTTTTAAAATGTTTATTACAACATGCACTTCTAACTTTGATTTATTTTATTCCACATACTTTTAAAATGTTCACTAAAATAGTCACTTTTTAAAAATACAATGATCAAAATGGAAAAACAGATAAACTAAAATGATCAAAATGAAAAAACAGACAAACTAAAATGAAAAAAAATAAAAATATATAGATCAAAATAATATTTTAATCTTTTAAATCTAAATACAAATATGAATACTTTTTATAGTTTCACATATCAGCATTTTATTAAAAATGTGTTAAAAAATTATTTATCAAAGTCACGGGGAAGAACAATGTATTAATAGAAATTTTCGCTGTTGCTTTCAGAGAATGGTTGGCGTTTGGGGCCATGACCTGAACCACAAGTGGTATTACTCTGCGAGAGCCGATTAGCCGCAAGAAAGCAAACAAACCACCGTTCCCTCCCGAGGCGCAACAACGCCACAAATCAAACGTGTGGATCTCTCGAGAGGACGCAATTTCTTGGTTCTCTTTTTCCCCACAGCTATGTTTATGTTCTCAATTTTCACAGATTCAGATACAGATTCAGCTACAGGTACCCCATTTCTCCATTTTCGTCGGACTTGTACTCCTATTTTGGCAAAACCCATCTCCTCAATTTCCCCTTCCAATCCAAACCCAACCCAACATGTCTCTACTCACTAAACTCCACATCGCCACTTCTCCCCAATTCAGCCTCAATCTTCAACCAGCAACAAAAACAACCGCGATTACCAATCACAGCGCCAAGATTAAGTCCAAAACCATTTACATTTCCCGGCCACTCGTGTTTAAACTCCCAATGCAGGCCTCCTCGCCGCGCTCCCTTCGCTCTTCCGTTAAGAGCTCGCTCATCGACCCCGACGGCGGGGCCGTGGTGGACTTGGTGGTGCCCGACGGCGAGAGGGCCGCCAGGGTTTTGGAGGCCGACCCATTGCCCAAGGTGAAATTGTCCAAAATCGATCTCGAGTGGGTCCATGTCATCAGCGAAGGATGGGCGAGCCCGTTGAGAGGGTTCATGAGGGAGGAGGAGTATTTACAGAGTTTGCATTTCAATTGCCTCAAAATTAAAGATGGGTCTCTCGTAAACATGTCGCTTCCCATTGTTCTCGCCATCGCCGACGATGTTAAGGACCAAATTGGGTCTTCGCCCAATGTGGGGCTCCTTGGCCCCAGTGGAGACTTGGTTGGCATTCTTCGCAGGTTAGTTAATTTAATCTTCGAGATAACTGTAGATACAAATGGGGTTCTGTGGGTATTTGTTTGTTGTATTGATCTAACGAAAAATGGCAGTTTTCTTTACCACCCTTTGTTTGGGTCTTTTAGTTGGCTACCCACGATTGAAGTGATCGATCCCCTCTTTTGGAATATTGCATATGATATGACATAAACTAAATTATTTAAATCCCCGAGAGATGCTCTGTAATTATAATAATAATAATAACAATCTTCCACTTGCTCGTATCAAGAGATATTTAGAAGGCAGGACAATATTAAAAGTTCAGAACAAAAGGGGGAAATCGTGATGATCATAGATTTGTGGGTTTACAAATAGAAACGCCCAATTTTGGGCATGTTCTGACTGAAACAGTAAAGCTTATAACTGTATCTGTGGAGTCTTCTAGAAACTTTCTTTCTGTTTGATGAACAGTGACTCCAACTGAAACCAAGTTATGTGGTTTTCCTTATCCAAGCTCCTTTTTTTTGAGTTATTCTGCAGCGTTGAGATATTCAAGCATAACAAAGAAGAGAGAATAGCTAGAACTTGGGGGACAACTGCACCAGGGCTGCCATATGTTGATGAGGTCATTACAAATGCTGGGAACTGGCTTATTGGTGGAGATCTTGAAGTAATAAACCCGATCAAATACAACGATGGGCTCGATCATTTTCGGCTGTCTCCGAAACAACTTCGGCAAGAGTTCGATAGGCGTCAGGCCGATGCTGTTTTCGCCTTCCAATTGAGGAACCCTGTGCACAACGGGCATGCTTTGTTGATGAACGATACACGAAAGCGACTTCTCGACATGGGCTACAAAAATCCAATTCTGCTACTGCATCCTTTGGGAGGTTTCACTAAGGCAGATGATGTCCCGTTGGATGTTCGAATGGAGCAGCATAGCAAGGTTTATCATCATCATTCTGAATTGTTCTTTTCTTTAACATCCGTAATCTCTTTGGAAGTAAAAATGTACCATTTTCTCATTCTTATACAACATTCAATAACTGCAAAACGTTTGATTTTCCCAGTAAGCAACTCGAAAGGAAGTTAGTATATCTGAAAAGTATGATCCTTTATATTGTGGCTAGCTTAGTTTATGTTGGTTAGTGAGGTTTTCTGTGTCTGTAGGCTCTAGAAGATGGAGTCCTTGACCCTGAAACGACCATCGTCGCCATTTTCCCATCACCGATGCATTACGCTGGTCCAACCGAAGTACAGTGGCATGCCAAAGCAAGGATCAATGCAGGTGCAAATTTCTACATAGTTGGTCGAGACCCGGCTGGAATGGGACACCCAACAGAGAAGAGAGATTTATATGACCCAGACCACGGAAAGAAGGTGTTAAGCATGGCCCCTGGCCTTGAGAAGCTAAACATATTGCCCTTCAGGGTCAGTGTGTCCCAATGATCCCTCCTTTTCCTCTCCACAACTTTCCACCCTCTCTCTGCATTTTAATGTCCCATGAACCGCAGGTGGCAGCATACGACACTGTCGCGAAGAAGATGGCGTTTTTCGAACCTGGACGTGCGAAAGATTTCCTCTTCATCTCTGGAACAAAGGTAAGAGCTGAGTTGTGTATGAATGAACAGAACAGGATGTCCTTGTGGTATGCATTGCCTGAATTGTTAGAGCTTTTGGTGCATATGTGTTTTGTGTTAGATGCGGAATTTTGCGAGGACGGGTGAGAACCCTCCGGACGGTTTCATGTGCCCGAGCGGATGGAAGGTGTTGGTAAACTACTACCAGAGCTTGCAGGTGGAAGACGCGCCGCCGCAGCAACCAGCATTGTCAGTTTAGGAGGAGGATATAGTTTGAGAAGTCAAGAGAATGATGGGTAGTAGTGAGTGAATCCATGAGGAAGCTGCTGAGGAACGGGATTTCATTACACAATACATTTTCATCTCTGTATAATCTAAGCTTCTTCTATCCTCGGTTCTTTTTTTCTTTTCTTTTTTAATGTCTTTTAGCTGTGGTTGTAATAGTAAGTAATTTTGTCACTTATCTTCACTTGTGAAATGATATTAATATATTTTATTTTGGATCTTCGTTCACTGCCATCTCTGTTTCTCAAATACTATATTTTGTAATCGTTGTCCAACCAGCCATAAATTTTTTATTTATATAGTTGGCTGTAGAAATCACTTTATTAGAGTGCAAAATTAAAAATATTAGTGCATTCAATCATAAGATTGTAAATATGATCTTGTTTTGAGATATATTAATAAACCAGTAATTGAAATATGGTTGTATATATAAAATCGATCTGATTGATTGATTAGTAGTACATCAAGTCAAAATAATAATAATAATAAGGTCACAGTTTTAAATTATTATAAAAAAGACTATACTTTCAAAATTCAATATAAAAAGGTTATCAAATATTGTTACAAAATTACTATTATTGTTATTTGAAAAGAAGTATTTCACCACTTTTTTCGGCCCAAGAAATGGAACGGGCAAGTTTGGTGATGGGCCGGTGGTCCTTTTGGAGCTTGAGAAACTAACTTTGGCCCATCTTGTTAGTTGGCACTGAACTCCATTGATTTCTTTTTTTGTTTTGCTCTAAAAAATGTCGACATATATTTACTATATTTGAACAGTGACTAATTATTTATTTTAACTCTCTTAATAATTTTGAAAAAGTATATATAGATATCATTTGCATTGTACATTAATTAGCTATATATGTTTTTTTTTTGCGTTACAAATACTTTTTTAGAAAAAAGGTACGGAGAGAAATTGACTACATAGAAGAGAACAATATTTACCAAATTTGTTTTGATTGAGAAATAATTTGTTTAATTAAAAAAGGCCCATGTTTCCTTGGCAGTACAAGCCAAGAAAGTGCAAAAGTCTTGTTTGTCCCTACAGAAGACATCTTTAGCAAACACATGAGCTATGTTTTCCTAATGTGCTCAACATCTTAAAATGTGAAACCTTTAGCTAAAAGATTCAAATTCCCGTTTACATGACCTAAATTATGAATGTTTCACATGTGAACGGAAATGCTAGAGGTTTCAATTTTATGAAATGTCGTTGGTAATATAGATCAAATGCATGGATGTTCATGAATATTTCAAAACAAAAATTTAAATATTTATAAAAATTATTTACTTTTAAGTTTTAAATAAGATCAAAATTCTTATTACTAATATTATGTCCGATACTTTGTTGATATTTGACGTGGCTTCATTGACTTCGAGCTTAATTGGACTGCAAAAGATTACATACTTTTGAAAGGTGGGACTACATCTTTTATAGAAGGGGAGCCTAGAGAATCAAGGTTCTGCCACTGAAACTGTTGCACTTGGTTTTCGAGTTGGTAATGGGAAGATCTTCTAACGAATGGTTCTCCCGCCAAATGTTAAGCAGATTTTCCACCGGGCAAAATCATCCCTAGATTGTAGCCGAGCTGAACTGTCCTCACAAAGTAACAAGCTCATCCTCCTCCTCCATAACAGATATGATCCCTTACTGTGATTTTCTCCAAATCAACGGATGGGAGGTTAGGCCTTGATATCGAAGAGAAGGAAAAAAGCAGCATTTTCTGGTATGAGCGTAGCATTAGGTACATCGGGAAAGTACAATACAATACAATTATTACACCGCAATGATCCATAAGAAGAAAAAACTGAAGGAGGCTTTTTTTGCTTTTAGCGTGTGGGTTAGGCTAAAAGCGCAACACAAATTGTTTGCGTTGTAAGGGGTTAAGTGTGAGGCACAGTCCCAATTTTCCGACTCATCGGCATCAGCTGTTTTTACATCTTTTTTTGGCCACTTCCCTCCAAAAGTTGCCCACAAAGCTTCCCAAATTGCAAATCCCCTGATGCCCCTTTGCATGTTCAACTGGCTGTGCTTGGGGCAAAGCTAACGTGGGAGTTCATGAGATTTTTTTTTTAAGCAAAAAATTGAATTTAATTTTGCATAGCTTGAAAATGGGTGGGGAAGTGATTGGCTTTCGGTGAGATCACTGGGCCATCCCCCATAGTTGCTCTGTTTTTATGTTCCCTTAAAATGGCGAAACCAATTTGGTTCACTCAACGTGGAGGTGGAGGTGGAGATGGATCGAAGAGAAGGAGAAAGCCACTGCTTTTTTCTTCTTCAAATTTTTGACAGATTTTTTTCCTTTTCTTAATTCCCAAGTCAACTACTTTTTACCCTCTCCCATTTATTTTTCTATTTATTATGCTTCACGTCATGTAATGTAAAGATGCAAACATATGGTCCGCTCCGCTATCAATGGAGAAGATTTTCAGTATACATAAATATAAAATAACTTCAAAAAAGTTAAATTTTTGTCTATTGTTTTGCGTTATTCATTCTACATGATGTAATGTAAGATTTAAATATGGGTTTGAATCTGATCAACAGTTGAATGGGGACTCAAGTTTTGATCTTTATGGGGCATTTCAGACCATGTACAGAGTTGAGATATTAAGAAAATGTTGAATTTGGAATTATATGGGGAAATAGACATGACAGGTGACATGTATTTGATTTATGTCTCATTAATTTTAAACTCGCAGGTTTCGAATATTATTGAATGGGTTTGTGGTTTAAAGTATTTTATAGACAAGAAAAGACAAAATTTTCATTTCATGTAGGCTGTTTAAGAGACTAATGTTGTAGGAAAAATAGTCATCCCCATTGACATTACAATAATTAATAATAATTCCTCCCCTCCCAAGCTTATTCTATAGCCACATGTAAGATAGCGATGATAATCCGCCAAGTCACCCCTCAAAGAAAGAAAAACGACGACAACATCTAACGATTATAAAAGCAACAAGATTTATCTCGGAGAAGACAGCGAGACCCACTGAAAAATAAAGAAACTGTTGGAATAGAACATAAATAGGATCAAAATAGTTGTTTGAGTTGCAGGTTTGTGTTTGAATGTTGTAGAGATAAAAGGCAGAGAGGACAGAAGGGTACTGAGGATGCCTGCTAGGTTTGGAAGATGGAGGGCATTGATGAGGGCCTCATTTCTAACCAAAACATGCAGCATATAATGTATTTATTCAAGTATTTTTTTCATTTTCCGTATGTGCAGCCTGGGCATGTTGCCAATAATTACAATAATTTCCACTATACTATAGCTCTATTATATCTTTCATAAAAAGATTGTCCTTGAAACTATGGTGGGAATTAACAAATTTGGAATTGAACTTATTTAAAAATTTAAAGAGTTGAATATGTGATATTATTGAAGATGAAGTTGAAAAAGGTTTTCTGGTTTTGGCCACAGATGGTGGAGGAGATGAGATGAGATGAGATAATGATTTTATAGGTGTTACTAGGTTTGTTTTTTGATTCGTCGAGATTGGGAAGTACCAGCACTACTTGGCAGTACAGTCATCATTTGACTTCCACAGTGTTTTTTTTTTTTCTTTCTTTCTCTCTAAGTCAAATCTCAAACCCACTCTATATTTCTTCTCCAATTGATTTTCCTTCTCTTCATCCATAATCTCTTTTTACTTTACTTTGTCATTGAATCGAATGAATTTCCAAAATCAAATCAAGAAGATTTTTTTTATAATTTTTTCCTTGTGGGTGTTGTGAGAAGATTAACTTAAAAAAAAGGAAATATCTTGTTATAATTTTGAATATTAATATATTAGGCCAAAGGAATGGATGTAATTGAATGATGGAATTGAATGAAATATGGTAAAAAGAATCTCCGAAATTGAAGTAGTTAAGCATGCTAAAATCTTGAGATTCTGAAGAATATTTGCATAAAACTTTCAATTTCATGACGAAATTTTATAGGTAATAGTGCGAAGAAAAAATAGGAGGAGGGGCCAAGTTGTGGGAATGGAAGAGCAAAGAGGAAGAAAAGGGTAAAGTGGGCCGTTTTGGGTGAAAAAAAAAGATGTCATTCAAAATTCAACTCAATTGTGTGTCTGTCTGTGTCTCTCATATGCACCCGAAAACAGCATAAATACCCCTCTTCTTTCCCACATCCAGAATCCATTATTCCATAACATAACATAACCGCTCTATCTCTCTCGCTATTTCTTCTTCTTTTTGTTAGCAAAGCCATAATTAAATTAAGCAGAAGGGGGGGATCCGAATGGGGATGAGAAAGTCGACGAAAGCGCCACAGACGGCGCCGGCGGTGCTGAAGCAGATCCTGAAGCGGTGCTCCAGCCTGGGGAGGAAGCAGCAGCACTACGACGACGTCCCCAAAGGCCATTTCGTGGTGTACGTTGGCCAAAACCGAACCAGATACGTTGTCCCCATCACATTCCTAAACTACCCTCAGTTCCAAATCTTACTCCAGCAGGCCGCTGACGAGTTCGGCTTCGACCACGACATGGGCCTCACCATTCCCTGCGACGACCACTTCTTTCAGTCCCTCACCTCATCCCTCACGTAGATCACAATCTCAATCTCAATCCATCATCATCCTCTTCTTCTTTTGAGTTAATTATGTAATTAATTAGTTTGGGGAAATGGAAATTTGACTACTCAGAGTCAGAGTGGAGAACAGAACAGAGCATGCTTTTGCTTCTCCCCTGTCTCTGCTTTTTAAGCACTAATTTAGTCGCTGATTTTAAGGGTTTTGTCCGTTGCTTGGTTCTGTTTAATTTCCATTTCATCGTCGACGTTTCATTGCCTCAACCGTTATTTGCCGTTAAAACTGTTGAAATCATCGAATCCAATCCCCCTCCTCGCTAACGCCATCGAATGTTCTGTCACGCCCCAACCCAACCTATATTTTAACAAATTTTCATAATGCAATGCGACCTATAAATTATAATCAGCGTTATTAAAGTGTATCGAGTGTGTAGGGGGCAGTCTGGTAATTTAATTTTGACCCCCCGGGGTTAAATTTGGAAAGGGACAAAGTTTGGAAGTGCAGAGCGAAGGGGGAAAATCCTCCGGATTCCAGGAGACCATGTGGGTGGGGCCCACAACCAAAATTCTTGAAAAAGTAAAAAACTTTATAAACGTTTCTGAAGATCGGACGGTTGGGAGTGGAGATTTCAGATACGGTAACGGTGGTGATGGTGCAGGCGCGTGTGATACACGGGCCGGAAATCGTAGGCGTAGGGAGGTGAAGGAATACGACATGGGAATTGACCAATTAAAGATGGAATGACTTTATAGTTTATAGGGCTACTTCAACAAAAGCTGCTTTTTTTTTTTTTTTTTTTTTCTTAATCCTTTTTTTTTTTACAAGTCAAAATACACCGACTTTATGAACTAATGATCCCAAATCATTTACCAATTATCCCCTCGTATGTTTTAGGAAAAAATAAAATATGTAAATTATAATTCATTGCCTCATGACATAGTATGAAAATGGAAAAACACATTTACATTCAAATAACGTGACAAATCATTTAAGACTTCTTTTGAATGAAACCGTTTCTATCGAAGAAACTAGAAAATATTTGATCTTATCTTTAGGTATTTTAACTAATTAAAGACTTTTTTTTAATCTAATATGATGGTTGCATATTTAATATATGAGTATTTAATTAATATTTTTAAAAAGTTTTACTTAAAATTGTTACTCCCAAAATTATCTATTGCAAGTCTATTTTTTGTTTTAGAAATTAATCTTGGGTATGCCTTTTACTTTGGCTTATTCGTTTTTTTGGTTTTGGTATTCAACTTCTTTAAGAGTATGTTTTTAATTCTTAGCCAAATTTTAAGAAAGAAAACAAGTTCTTCTGATAAATAACGAAAGATAAAGAAATTGAGAGTAAATATGTTTAATTTCTAAAAATAAAATGATTAGATAATAAAATTTGAGTTTGCGATTTTCTTACATTAAATCTAATGAGAAATTAAAAAGAACAACCAAAATTAAGGTTATCTACATAAAAAAGACAAAAAAAAAGTATTAATTAAATTGCGTTGATTAAATTTTACCTGTATCAAAATTTGATTAATCTATCACCAAATTATGATTATATTAATCTTACTATGTTGATTGACTTTTAAATAGTAAACCATTTACTATATTAATTGACCTTAAAATGGTAAGCCACACATTGATATTATGTAAATTTTGAACAAATATACTATTATTTTAGAAACAAAATATTTTGTTAACATAAATCTTATGAATTTTATGATTTACACAGCCTTTTCAATAATATAGATTAATATCAATTTTTTACAGACAACTGGAATACCGACATTTTCTTGACATTTAAAAGGAACATACGAATAAAATTAAACAAAATATTCATCTAAACATTTCTAAAAGGAAGATAATATTTTTAATATAATTAAAACATTTGGAAGAAAAAAAAAAAAAAAAGGAAGGAAGTTTGAATATATGGTCCCGTGTGGTTGTAGGATGTAATTTCGTGTATTTTCAGAACAAGTTGCAAACGAACGGCGATGGAGAAGGAGAACATGGGGATCTCAAATTATCACATGTCAAAAAACAAAATTATTAAAATTTTCTAATATATATATTATCACCAAACGTGTAATTATTTAATATCTGCGGCCAATTTCTTTGAATGGAAAATTGAAATGTCACACAAAATAGCACCTACTTCTGCCAACTTAATTAATTACCACATCTAAATGAGTATTGTATAGAGAGATTTCTCTCTATATATTTTAGTAATTTATAAGTCTTGTTGGTTCAAGGATTGATACATGAAATAATTTTCTATTTGACTGATAATGTAAATTTGTACTAACTAAAAAAAATTGAATAATCGATTGGCAATAATTCTATTGAATTAGTCTGTCGACAGGTACAAATTAGCATAGCGAGTCAAATAGATAAGTCCCTACTTGCTAATATATGGATAGATAGTGTGAGTGAAGCACAAAGGGGATGGACATTTGAGTGGTTGAAAGAGTGGGCAACGTGTGGAATGGTCGAGAGTAGACCTTGCCCAACTCTACTTACGCTTATAACTTTGGTTACTTTTTCCTTAGACCTACATTTCAACACGGATGAATCGAAAAGAAAACTATTTATTGGTTCTACTTTTCTTTTTATATATGTACAAAAAATATTGGTTTGTTCTTTTTTTATATCCCTCAAATTGCAAAATGTCTATTTTTAGTCCTAAAAGTAAAATTTTTTTACCATTTTAGTCCTTGTTATATTCTCTTGTAACCTAAAATTTGCTAATTTTCCACCCATATAGTTTGATTAGATAATCAAATGTTAGCATGTTAGTAAAGGACCAAAAATCAAAGTAAAAGTAATTAAGGACTTTTTTTCCCATTTGGAGACTAAAATAGACATTTTAAAAGTTTAGAGAATAAAATGTAATATTCTTTAAAGTTGATCAAATTCGAATTTAAAGTCTATTATTATTATTTTAGGCTGAGGAAGAGGTGTTTGTAGAAGAAATGAATGGCAATTTGATTAGTTGGAAATTGAAAAATAAAAAATAAAACAGAGAGACAAAATTGACACATGTTCTAAAATAGTATGAGGGAGAGAAGATTATTTAAGCTATATGGAATATGGATTCATAGATTATAATGAACAAATTTGAGATAAGATTGCATTGTTTAATTTCTACTCTTTTCTTCCATTGTCCTTTCCAATCTTGCACTGTTACTTCCACATTCATGCAACATTTCCTTGTCCTCTTTCTAAGATTCACTCTCTCTCTCTCTAAATGGCAATCTCACTTTTTTCTATTTTTCAATTTAATAATAGTTAAAGATATGGTCACATATCATATATAGCAAGCATTCATGTGCATCAATTTGACAACTAGGCATGACGTCAAGTTTGAACAAATTACCAGCGATAACATAACAAAACGCGTGGAATAATTTCTTCACTAGAGGAAAAAATCCCTTACAAATTTTCTCAAGGGTCAATTTTTTATTACCCTCCAAATTAAATGTCGTCCCTAATAAATTGGAGCATGCATGCCAAATGCTTTTAATTAATTAATACATATATGCAAAAAGAAAATTAATTAGGGAGAGTGAAGAGAGGCCATTCGGGTCTTAATCACTGTTAGTGTTAATCCTGAAATTAATGCATTTATCTAACATTAATGCATCTCTTCAGAGAAAACAGAATTAAAAAGAAGAAAAAAGAAGATTAAAGGATGGGCACAAAAGAAAGACAATGAATTAAATTGATTAAATTTGACCAAAGAAGATTGTGGAGATGTAGAAAGGGGGGAGTGGTTAAGATTATGAGTATATGAACCTTTAATAATTAATATATAGTTCACTGAACAAACATAGAATATATATTATATACATCTTTTTATTGATTTATTATTTATAAATTTAATTAAAGATAGAAAAGAAAAGAGCAATGGGAATTATCATCAGCAAGAGAATATATATTAATCTATTTTGATCGATTAGTAGTCCAGTATTGTTCCTACTTTTTGGATAGGTTGTAAGAGTAAATTGACGGAAGCTGAAAGCTTAAATTCAAAAGGGAATAATATCCCGGCCGGGTCTAGCATCATAACTTGATTTTTGTAAAGGGCTCTTTCTCTTGCTACTCCAACAGTCTTAATATATACATAAAGTAAAGATGAAAAGAAAAGAAAAAAGGTACAACAATTTTAGTTTGGAGGAACTAGTGGGACATAGAAAATAATGAGAAAAAGGGTAAACTTGGTACGTTACAATAATCTTTGAAAATGGATTGCAGGAAGATTTGAGTAAGCAAAAGTGGGATAGATTAATAATCTCATCGAAAATGGTGGAGCGATCTTGGCCTGCAACAATAATAATGGGAGTTGAATTTCTTTTGGAAACATTATAATTTGCAGTTTTCAATACCCATTATTTATTTGTAAGCTTTGCTTAATATTTACTGCTCTGTCTCTCCTTAGAAAACACACATGTAGTATTCAAATAATGCATTTGGAAAGGCCCTTTCTTCTATTTTTAGTCCGTACTGAAATGAAAACAATGGAATAGTGATTTTAAGGATCATCATTGAACAAATAATACATGGTGGTCGACGAATACTCTATTTCGTTACCCAATACAGATTTTAAAACTAATTTGTCTAATATGCGACATCATCATCATCATACTTACCACCATTTAAGATGCATCATTGCTCGTATAAGCAGCGAGAAATTTATTTCAAAAGAGACAAAATTGGCCATATTAAGACTACATATTTTGGATACGTCTATTTGATATCTAACAAATTGTTCAATAATAATTGAACATAAATGTTTGGACTAAACTAGAAACGAGTTGTCTAGTAGTTTGTGCATAACTTATGGATTGTGATTTTGATGATAATCGAGTGGCATTGCTTGGTAAAAGGAAAGAGTTAATTAATTCACAATTCAAAGCAAAGCAGGTCTTAATAATTGATCGAGGCAAACACTCAGTCTGGGCCTGGGGGATTTGTACAGAATAGTTAGATTACGGACCAACAGTTTAAGCTGTGGTTGATTTGATTGCATCAGTAATTCAACACATCAATACGGCCTATGGTCCTATAGCTCATGTGGCTTGCTTATCCCTCTGCAAAAACCCAATAATAATAAAATGGGTTTCTATATTTCAAAGAGTGGGGTCCAACAACCCAATAAAAACCCACACCAATCCATCCACAATTTGATTACAAAACCCAATGTCCAATGTCCAGATATAAGTGGTGAAGGAAAGTCGAGCCAAGCCTTCAAGAATATATTTGCAATACATTTGTTCCAGTTCCGCTGAAGATCAGATGGGGAGAACACATACAAATAAGAGAAGAAAAATTAACAGATGTGAATTATAATGTACAGCATTAGGTACAGAAGCTAAAGAGACCCTTTTGAGACATGGAGAGCTCCCAAAACTGACTCCCATCTAAAAATCTTAGATGTCTATGTTTGGTACTTTTCTATTTATATTATTGAATGAAATATTTTAACAGAATCACATTATCATGCAAGAAGAGTAGAGTAGCAAGCCTAATGACCGTTCTTTCCTTTTGAGGAGAAGAATCTACTAAATCCTCGAGCTTGTTTCTCTGGAGTTGGAGCGGAAGAGGATGAAGAGGAGCTCGACTTGGTTGGCCTGTGTTTTGGTTGTTGTTTTGAATTGATAGGGGATCTCATGAAGCTTCCTCCTTCACTATCAGAAGCGCTACAAGGGGATTCTGCCCCCACTACGTGTGCCATCGCAGAAGCGGCTGTATCCATTTCAGACCGGTCCAGGTCCAGCAGATTGGTGCCACTTTTAGACGGTTCATCCTCAGGAAACTCTTCACCTCTTTGACTTCTCTCGCTGAATGGAGATCCAACAAAGTCTGGTTGGGGGCGCAGAGATTTCAACTGCTTGCTAAGAAGAAAAATTGTTTCTTGACATTCGGCCAACTTCTCTGCAGCAGCAGCCAACTCTATCTCCTAATGTAACAAAAGAATTTCCGAGTTCAATACTAGAAAGTTCAAAAACTATTTCATTACTCCACAATTAAAACAAGCTATTCCTCAACGATATTTGTAGATAACATTTAGGAATGAACACACAGCGCACAGCAAAATATTGCAACAGTGTTTCCAGAAAAGCTTCGATGAACAAGTGCTTTTCTTTCACGCACGTTCGTTACTGGATTATGTTGTAATGGAAATAATTCAAGAGCATTTCAAGGGGAAAAGCAATTTAAAGAAAGGAATTCACCTGGCTCTTCTGGGGATCACTATCAATTGCCGAAGAACAAATGGCACAAACCTCGTTCCTGCAACATAGGAGACAAAGGAGATGAAAATCTGAATTGGTGCACTAAAAAGAAAACGATTAAATATCCAATAAAAGCAGGCACGACAGATAATTGGATTGTAAAATTTAGGACAGGCATATTGATCTCCATCACCGAACATTTTGCATGTATATAGGCAGCCTTCGCTCATGGCAACAAAGAAAACAAGACCAACCTCTGTAGTTGCTCTTGGAGCTCCCTGCACTTGGACAAAGCTTCGTGATGATTCCTCTTCTCATCTTGAAGTTCATTGTCCAAAGCTTCAGATTTAGCTCGCAAAAGATTTAGCTCAGTTTCCAAATCCTCTGCCCGTGCTTCAAGTGACCTGTATGACTCTGCCATACATTTCAGCTGTGTTTCTGATAAGCTGTTTGATTTTTGAGCAAAAGCCAACTGTGATCTAGATTCTGCTAGCAGCTGCTCTGTTTCCTGCAGTTTTCGCTTTGTTGCCTCAAGATCCTCTGAAGATCTTGCTAAATCCTTTGACAGGTTCTCCTTGGCTAATTTTAGCTCTTCAATGTCCTCTAACAAGAGCTTGGGCGATCTGGAATTTGATTCATAGCCGGACACTAGATTTCCATCACACGGAACTTCAAGATCTGAAGTGGGACTAGAGATATGGGAACAACCGTTTGTATATCTTTCTTCCAGTGAATCGTTTTGGATAACCTTGTGCTCTGGTAAAGCTACCTTATCTATGCAATCAGGACTGTTAGCATCTCCATCAGTATCCTTGCATCCAGTGAAACTAAATCTGAGCTCACTGGCTTCAAATAAAACATGAGAAAGAACAATAACAAAATCCACCAAACTTGTGTTTGCAAACACAATTTTATTAAAGGTGGCAGAGAATTCCTCAATCTTTTTACCCAATCCATGCCCATCTGGAGATAATGTATCATGAACTCTCGAAGCTTCCTTCCCAAGGAACAGCACAAATTCATGGATTTGAGAGACGGCAGCTTCCAAGTCTACGCTCATAGGCTGATTATGTCTAGCAGACTGGGATAAAGCAATTTCTCTTTCTACTCCTAAACCAGCATCGTCAGGATTGGCTTGCCTATCACATGTCATGTCAGGGCACTGCACTTCTTCAGAAGCACAGTTCAAACAACTGATAGTGGGTTGCTGAAGTGCATCATGGGCATCTTGCACAATGCATTTAATATCCTCCAAAATTTTGCCTGTATCTGCGTCCTTTGAGATAGACTCAAAAATCATGGATATTCTTGATCGGAGTTTCATCAAAGGCAATCCATCATGATCAAGTTCAGCTGTCTCAGTTGATAAATCAACAGTAGAAGATACAACATTTGTAGATGGACTTAAATACAGATGCTGTTCGGACTGGATATTGTTGGAATCATGGTGTACAACTTCAGAGGCCACGGTGTTTGAATTACCTGAAGCAGGGATGGGTTCATTTGACTCATTCGATAGGCATGCTAATTTCTCCATTTCCAAAAAGTCATCCATGAGCTCCAAGTGACTTCCACTTTCGGTGTTATTTAATTTCTCATTCCTCTTCTCCCTAAATTGTGAAATGTCAGAGATTGCTGCTATGGATAAAGAATCTGCACAACTCTGACCATCTTCATTTCCATCTTCAGACATTGAGGTCAAACTGGGAGGATGGCTTGTGTTTTGGCATGAAAAGCCTTCGGCAGTGAACTGAACAACAGATTTGGGGGAGCTCCTTTGGTGATTGCCATTTTGAAGCTGCGCCTCCAAATTTTGAAGCTTACTAGCCGTCTTGGCACACATACTCCTGGAAGTCTGTAATTCGCTGTTACGCTTGGCCAAAGCCTCTTTAAGCATCTTTGTTTCCTCCTCCATGGCTAAAAATCGTTCTGTGAGGAACTCATTCTCCTTCTGGAATTTCTGTGCATTATCAAGGGAAAAGTCAGGTATGGATGGCATATGTGGGGTTGGAGGCCTACCAGGTGACTTCCTCACTCGGGTGTCTCCAAATTCCCGGCCTAAACTTTCGACCTCTAGCTTCATTTGAGCAAGAGCCGCAGGACCAGGCAATTTCTTCCGCACAAGACCACGTAATCTTTGACATTCTGCTTCCAGCTTTGTTATTTTCTTAACACCTTCCATGTGTTGCTTATTGGCTGCTTCAGCAGACCTCATGCTCATATTCTTTTCTTCATTGCGAATTTCTAGCTCTTTGGATACTATGTGTAGTTCGTATTTAAGTGAATTTATTTCTCTTTCGCATGATTCAATGTTGCCCTTCAACATCTCAATTTCAGCCTCAGCTTGTGACTTTTCTTCACTTATTTTAATCAGCATGTTGGAACGTTCTTGTAATGACCTTGAAAGTGCAGCACTTTCAGCAGCAGACCTAAGAAGTTCTTGGTCTAAGTCTGCCATCTTTGATTCCAACTCAAGTTTAATTTTGTCCCACTGTTTAGTTTTGGTGAAAATAACTTCTTGCAATTTATGTTCATGTTCTTCTTTCAGATTTCTTATCTGTCTCATGCATTCCTTCAGAGCACCATCCAAATGTGACGCCCTATCTTCAGCAGTGAGCTTGGACAGTGTCACAGTCTCTAGATGATTTTTTAACGCCAGAGCTTCTGCTTCAGCTTTCTCCCAACCTGTAGGAAGGAGTTGGTTTGTAGCGATGTATCCAGAATGAGCAGAAAATTCCAATCACCTAAAGCTTAACAGTAAAAAGATTCCTATCCAATATTACAGCAGAAGATATAATTTTACCTGAGACAGCTTCCTCAGCAACTTTAGCATGCTGTTTGACGAGGTTGTCCTTGGTAGTCATCTCTGAGTGTGCAGCAGATAGTTTCTCATTAAGATCTTTAATCTCACCTTCCAGGGTGTGAATTTGTTCATCACGAGTTTTCACTTCGTCCTCCAAACTGGTAAGATGTGAATACGTCTCAACAGAGATTTGTACATAACTTGGTTTTTTAAACCCATCCTGTGAGAGAGAGAGAAAATCAAGTTAGTAAAAATAAAATGTTATTGCAAATTCAAATCCCACCGCCACTACCTAACTTTTAAGAGAAGAAATTAATTTTTGGTAAGAACAGTACTCCTGAACAACCCAGTAAACAGTAAAGGATTTTTTTTTTTTTTAAATTGGGGGGTGGGGGGGATTAGTTATACAAAATACCTGATCACCCTGACTTCCAGCCGATTCTGATGTAGTATTGGCCTTCTCTGCTGTCTTCTCAGATGATTTCTTCTTCCAGGGCCAACCTCGTCGGTCCATTACAGGCTGCAAAAATTGCAGTCAGAACAGGTAAATTAATTGGTTATGGACGGGAAAGAATCAACCACTCTGAAGCACTAAACCAAGATTCAGACAAAATTACAGTCCCAAACTTCTAATGGCATCATCACTTAGAGGCTACTGCCAGAGGAATTACTTAATTCTGATTTTTCTGAAGTGTTACTTATACTTTCTGTGACACAGCACGCCGATGGCGTATGCCGTATGGGATGTGAAAGATTTAAAACAAAACTCACAGTTTCCAGGAAATGGAAAGCCCAAATCAGCTAGGTCAAATAAGGGTAGTGGGCACAGATTAAGGGAAGCAACCGCGCACCTTTTTGCAGGTATCAAATGATGAAAATATAAGGTTCCAAAAATGGAAATCCATTTCTTTATGCCCACATTTTTAGCAACAAAACAGACCACATCCAAACGCTATGTAATTGCTATTTATGAGAGACAAACAACACCGAGATAAAAAGTAGCTACCCGGAAACACCAGAACGGGAAGAAATTTAAAGGACGGCAGTTAGAAATTCCACCACTCACCTCCCGAAAGCTAAACCATAGTTCTATAGGAGAAATTTAGTGGAATAGTCCATAAATAAGTTCGATGGCTGAAAATGATACAGATAAACATGCATGTTAACGATGCTTAACTCTTAACCATCTATTTGGCAAAGGAACCATCGAGATCTGAGCAGAGAACCATTGCCAAACGAAGATCATTGACTCCAGAAGATAATTGATGTCTATTGGAGATAATGTAGAATTATTTTACTAAAGAAAAAGGAAAAGAGGAGAGTAGACTAATTTACCCACACTAGGTAGAAGGAACAATGTTCTTAGGCAAAGCGAGATCCAAATTAATTAGAACAATGTTCGGAAACAGTAAAATGCAAATTGAAGCAGTTACGAATATCCAACCAATATACACGGCGAAAAATGCACCGATACCACGGCATGAAAAAGACGGTTATCAGAATTGCAGGTGGAAATTGAAATCCCTGTGTGCGAAACCAAATTAAAAGAAAAAACAAAAAGTGGAAGAAGTTACCGACAGAAGAAAAATTTTCCATAGAAGAAAAAATCAAGAAGCAAAGAAACATCAAATTCAAGGAAGAAAGAACTCGAAAAAGAAAAACAGCGCGATTGCGAGGACGGCACAAATTAGTCAAACAGCCGCTCCCTCATCCGAATTCCAAACCGGAAAACACACACAAGAAAAAGCTTGAGAAGAAAGCAACAGTAGCAGAGGAAATGTAAAAGGACCGAAAATCGACTCACCGAAAGAAATGCAGCTTGGAAGAAGAAATATCAGATAGGAACAGGAACACTGGACTGGGTTGGCAGTAGGAATAGTGAAAGTGTGAAAGTAGAGAAAGCGAAGCAGATGAAATTCCGGCAATGAAGATCCAGAGTGAGGATTCGTCGATCGCAGCCACCGGCGCACGGCGGCGATGGCGATGGCGGAGGTGGAGGTGGAGGTGGGTGAGAGAGATGAAATGAAAAATATTCGGACTCGGTGTGTCCACTAAAAAAAGCCAGGACGTTGGAAAAGCTCCAAAACCATCTCCTTTTTTAAATTTTATTCTCAAAGTTATTTGAAATAAAATTTTCCTTTTTATATCAAATAAATAAATGTATTTGATTTGATTTGCAGAAGAAGAAGAAGAAGAAGAAGAATTTTAATTGCGGTGTGACGGATTTGACCATGAGAGAAGGGCATAATGGCGGATAAGTCCCTGGTTTGCAGAAGAAGCTACAGCTGAGCTGTATCCGATAGTTCGCAAAGTTGGATTTGTTAATATTTACATTACACTGCCACTCCCCACTATGGACCACCGTCACTCCCTCACCCTCACCCTCACTACAGCTCATCTCTTTCGGCCACAATCCCCTACACCCGCATTTACGCTCAGCCCCACCCCATCACAGCCGTCCATTCCCATCATCACCCACCACCCGCATTTTCCGCTTTGCTCTTGATGCGTTGATCACAGATGTAGGGCGGTGATTAAAAGCTGCGTCGACTGGATTATACGTGTCTGACAATATATCCAAAATTAGCTGTAATTAATTAACGCCTTTGTGTTCTTTTTTTTTCTTTTAGTTTTTGCACAGTTGTTGTAGTAATTAATAATATGTGTGTCGATTAAGCAATTTAATTTATACAAAGAAAGTGATTGGTGGGAAATTTAATTCGTTTTTTGTATGTTCTTACTATTTTTCATTTCGAATTTAATTCTTTTGGTTTTTCTTATTGGATCTGAAAATGAGAGTTTTCATTTTCACGATACTGTAAAATTTGTTGTCGAACAAGTCCCCATAATACGTACGCCTTCTTTTTTTCTCCTTTCTATGGTTTCAAATTTTAAATTCCTTGTTACCAACTATTTCATATTTTAGATTTATCTATTAAAGAATTTACCTACCATTTTTTGTTTTCAATTCCATTATTTACATATTAATTTTCTCATCGAGTTTTCATCATTGCCGAGCATTAAATTTTACTGACATGATTCCATCCACAATAAATACACAAACCTTAATTAGTCATTGTGTATAGAGAATTGATTCAGTGAAAGTTGTATTGATTAATGATTAAATCGATACCTTACCAAAATATATCATTTTCTAATTCCTACACAATCATTTTATCTTGATGTATGTTCGCAGTAAATATTTAATTGAAAAACCCAATTCATATAGTTCATAGAGAATGACATTTAAGAATTTTAAAATATCAAAAACTAAAACGAAAAATAACACATGCATTAAAAGAAAATGTACGTTTGCTATTTTGCGAAATCAAAATCTTGACCATGGAATAGTTGGATTTTGTTAAAAATAAGCCTGAAATTATTTGGGGTAAGAAGCCTATTTTGGGAAATGCACTACACCAGTATTATTTTCTCCACAAGAAACTGTGATTCTTAAATTAATTTCCGATATTAATTTAGTTGACCTAAAAATACATTTCTGCGTGTTCACGTGTTCCTCTTCTGATTGTACTCATTGTCATTTTTGTTTAAACATTGCCAAGCTTTTAATAGCTGCCACAAAATTAATTTCAATTTTTCTGTGAATCTGTTTATATCCATGGGAAATGGAGAACATAGGGAAGTAGCGACTTCCTTCTTTCTTTTTTTATTCTTTCAATTAATTTATTTAACAGTAGAATCGTCTCAAACTTTTGAAATTCACTTAAAAAGTTTAAATAAATACTATCCTTTATATTTCAACAACTCAATTTTATAATTTATAATTTAATACTATTACGAAAAAAAATCAATTTTTAGTACGTAACAATTTAGTCTAAATTTTATTTATGATCGATAATATATCTCGATTGCAACTATTAAATCGTAACAAATTCAAATGAAATTTACTTTGTAATAATTAAAGGATTTAGAGTTCATGGAATAAATTAAACGTGCTTTAAACCTAAAATTGATAACATAAAGGGCAAAAGTTATATTATATTTTGATTTTGACCCCGAAAATATCAACTTGACCCTAATAATTGGGAAATATTTTAATTTAGTTATCGTAATTCAGTTTAGTAAGCTCAACAAAGTTGCATTAAATATAAAAGCAAGAGATGAAAACGATGATTTAATAAAATAAAGAAAGGAAAAAAAAAACAAGTGGGGAATAGGTGGATGGAGTTGGAGCGAAGTGATTTGGAATTGGATTAATACTTCTTAGAAACGCAACTGAATGTTTGAAAAAAAAAACTTGTGTTCTACTCCAGCTCCATCTTCAGCCTCTCAGCCCCGTCTTGTTCTTCTTAAACAAATTTCAGGCCCTAAATGGCAATGACCACGTTTGAAGCAAGAAATTCCTTTTTATTTTTATTTTCCTCCCACTTGGTAAAGTAAAGCAAGATTAAAAGACAACAAACCAAATCTGGATGAAAGACGAGATCGAAGAATCAAGGTCAACGAGTGGACACTATTTGTAGGCTCAACTTACAGCTGACCTGGTCGGTGCGGCTAACCACTCGTCAATTGCTTTGCTCCATTTAGTTGAGCTACAAAACCATCTTCAATTGGTTGTTTGACTTGAACAACGTTAGTCACATACCTATTAATTCAGAGTCGATACAACTGCAATAGAGAAGATATCTTATTAAATCTAGATACGTTATTGATTTTAAGTTTTCTTACCCCTATAAATAAAGGGAGCAACATCAGACTTTAAAAAATCCTACTTTAGTTAATCTTCAGGAAAAAAAAAAAAAGAAAAAAACTATTTTAACTTAATATGAGAGTACGTGTAGTTAGCATCACATTTGTGTGTTGTTCTATTTGTTTTGCCGGGGTTGATTTGGTTCAAATTTGACAATGCAGTTAATCTAAATTTACTCATGTTTGTGTATTGGCTCACTAATTATTCACACACACCTCCCTCTCCGAAATTAATAAGAAAAAGAAAAATCGAAGCTCCCTTGGGAAGTTTAATTTAATAGGGCCAAGCTCCAAGTCTACGGGGCCACATCTTTTTTAAAATTTTTTTATTACCCAATTAAAACGGATTACCCTTTAAAAAGTGGTAAGCGCTAATCAGCCCATTCAGGCAAAGGCCTCAAAAAACTAAGATATTAATTACGCAAAATAAAGAAAAGAGTTATTTTTTAATCCACTTTACAGCACTTGCCACGAATACGATGGAGAGAGATTATGTGTATGGTAATTGGAAGATAAATCTAAGCAGAGGACAAAACAAAAGGAGGAATAGTTTAGGTTACAGAGAAATAAAAATAAATAATTAGAGAGTAAAATTGGAGGAGCCTTGTCGTTTTCCACTACCAGTAAAAAGCCAATTTGTTGCAGAATTCTTTTAATTTCTGAAAATTACTTAGTTTGCTCAAACATTTTATTTATTTGCAGGGGAGATTGATTCCACAAAGCATTGAAATTACGTATTCATGAGGCGCGCATTGGGCATTGGGTAAGGGCTGAAGTTGAACGGCCATTTTTTTTTTATCCGAATCGTCGCAAATAAAATACGATGTCGTTTGGTATTATTTTGTAATTTTGTTGGTTTTCGACATTCGTATAATTAAATAAATAAACAATTATTACGATTTTATGATAGGAGCCAGAAAGTCAAAAACTGCATGGCACTGTTTGACGACAGAGTAAGGATTTAAAGGCCTCGACACACGAGACATCCTGGACACGACAACAGCTTATTTAACTTCCCTTCTTCTCATGCCATGCTATGCTATATTTTCTAAATTATTGAATTTCTTTTTTCTGGGAGTTATACATCATTATCTTTTATAAAATAATTAGATTTTCTCAACAGTCTTTAAATTATTGTTCAACTGAATTTTTCAATTATAAACATTACTTATCGATTTTGTCTATTCAACAAGTAATTGACTTACAACCCTTTCTTTTTTTTCTCTTGACAAACGAGATATATATATATATATATATATATATATATATATATATATCAAGGGAGAAAAATGTTTTTAATATATACTTGTTTTGGTTTATATATATATATATATATATATATAGGAGTAGGGTATATTCCTTAAAAAGACTACATCTCTTGGGTGAAATTATGCATCTTCCTTCTAGAAGCTAAATTTGTAGGCTATTGATCTACCTATGACCCTATACTAAAATACATAGTGGACTATGTTTTTAGATAGTTTATTTCACCTAATATTCCAATCGATAACCAGATAATAAAATTTATGCATCCTCAATTAAATTTCTATATCACATAGAGAAAACAACAAATCAGATCGTTGGAACTAAAAAAAAGTTTTTCTGTTTTATACATGACTTTTTTTTTTTTAGCTTAACAGTTAGTTTTCCATGTCATTGTTGTATTTAATAAAAATATTGAACGGGGAAGTAGGAAAAACTTGCAAGAAGTTGATCGCAATGTAGTGAGTTTGTCAAACATTATTTGCTATCAAAAGTCCTATTAAATTTAATACGCAGTCCATGCATATATCAACTAATTTCATAAATACTATTTATTCTTAGAATTAGATAACAATTCTTCTATTAGTGGTATCATGCCTATTTATGGTTGGAAAAAGTTACCCAATGTTTAAAGTTGTACAAACGCCTAATAATTATAACATTATCATAATCGAGGGAAGGATAATAACCTTTTTCAAAAACAAAAAGGAAGAAGGATAATAAGATTTGTAGATTGTGATATGAAATAGGGATATTTGTTTGGGAGACAAAAACAATTTTAGTTTGCATAAAATAAAAGATTTTTTTTTTTACAACATGTGATATGGGTAGAAACAAAGCATGTCAATTTGAAGGAATACGTCCGCCTATAATCAGTTCTAGAACTCAACACATATGTCTCATTTAAACATTAGAAATAATAATTGATATAAATTTCATAGTATGCTAGATATATATTTGTAGTCATCAATATTTTAGTACTTCTACTTGTCTGTTACTTAAAAATTTCAATTTAGCATCTTACGATGGAATATATACACTTTTAAAATAAAAATTTAATTGAATAATATTTAAAGGTATGTATTCAGTATATAATTTGAGTGTGAAGGTGGGAAGAAGGAAATAAAAAGGAAAATGGA